GCGGGCGCAGGAGACACCCAGCCCGTGGCGCGAGGAGCCGCCGCCGTGCGCATGCGCGCACCGCGGCCCGCCAGGGTCACGTTTGCGATTGCGCACACAGCCGGGCTGTTCCCCCGGGAGGCTGAGACAGGAACATAATCTGAGCGCCTAAATCTAAGAAAAGATAGCAAGAACCTAAGAAAGGAACGATGGAGGGGAGGAGAAAGGGCGAGACAGAGAGACTGAGTCTCTTCAAAAAAACACAAAGTGGTGTGTCTGTCAGTTTATTTCAACCCACTAAACCAACACGTAACAACTCACAACTTTCTCTAAAAAAATATGAATTGGGTACATGCAGAATTGGTTTATGTATTTTAGCAAAAAAAATAATTTAAGTATACCACATCTATCAAAGCTTTCTATATACACAACAGACATTAAATAATCTTGCTTAATAACCAGACATTTGGAAAAATCAAAGCCATTCTGTAAAACAGAATTAAACACATAAGGTAAGAATACTGTGAATTTACTTAACTGTACAAAAGAATAACGCTAGTCTTCCAGTTTTATATACTTCCTGTACAAGGAATCACACCCAGGGCCTTCTGCTTGTGAGACAAGCGCTCATCCCTGAGCTCCATCATAAGACCCTTTTTATGTTCTGAGACAGGGTCTCACTGAGTTGCCCAGGATTACTCCAAATTTGCAACCCTCCTGCCTCAGCCTTCAGAATAACTAGAATTATAGGCACATCCACCCTGTTCATATACTTTGGAGAATGAAGCCCCAGACTGAAAGGATTAAATCCTTTCTCAAGTCCTCAAGGACACTGGCTCACCCTCGCGAAGGGGCAGAGCATTAGAGGGGAGGATGAGAAAGACAGAGCTACTGAGTCAGCCACCAGGCCACAGGCTCCGCTCCCTGGAGGGACCTGCTGTCCCGCAGCCATCAGCAGCTCTGTCATCACTGAGAACCTTCCACAACAGCTAGCCCTTGAGCCAGTCAAGATGCGGCAAATCCTTGTGATGTTAACACAGCTAAACATAAAATGAAAAATTCCGCAAGTTAAATTATTTTTTAAATACACATCTATATTTTTAGCAATCATTTTTTTCCGTACACAAATGAAAAATAAAGTGATCAAAGAAACAGAATAATCTGGATATTCCAAAATGAGACAACTGAAAAAACTTTCACTCAGCAAAACATGGCTGGGTCAACTTACACGGTAAGAATAACTGCTAGTTGCCATGTCTAACTGGACAGCAGAACACTGGGTCGTCCACACTGCCTTCCCGGCTCCTTCTGGGCTGTGCTCTTCATGTTGCAATAAAGCCTTTGAAATACGTGCTGTCTGTCACAGAACTACAAGGTTCTACATTCCTAAATAATGCACTTGACTGCCACAGCAATGATTTAAATATTTATGTGGTATAAAAAGAAAGTTATAAACATACACTTAATTTTTTCTTTACCTGTAAGATATATTAAAAAGAGATTTTATAACTTCTTGCTACTTTAAGATCTAAAACTCAAAGTACCAAACATAAGAAATAAAAGTGCAACATGGAGGCACAATACTGAATAAAATAAACCCGTGTGTTAAAAACCCAGTGCTTCAGTATTAAGACGTCTCCCTCCAGTACAGTTATGTTTATTGCTACTATAAATAAGCTTTACCTTAAGGCATCTGTTGTTACCTCTGAGAAAGACGGGCTCAAACCAAGGGAAGAGGCTCTATTAGCCTTCAGGTCTTCCCTTCCGACGTCACGGAGGTCGGTTCAAGGACTGTTTTTGCATGGCAGTAGGTAGTATCTTTAAACATACTACCTGACTACGGTTCAAATGTTTCCCTAGGATATTCTGAGACGCTAATTAAAGTATCATACACATTAATTCTGTGATAACTTGGATTAACAGGGGAAATGGGCAAAATCAAATGAAAATGGATGGCAAAAACTAAAGAGATGTGACAAACTCTAAAAAAAATCAATTATACCACAGGGGCAGTACCTGAAACCTTGGCCAAGTCATTTCATTTGTGTAAGCTGCACTAACAATACATAGATGACCTGCTCCCTTCACATTTGAGAACTCCCAGTCTGGATAAATCAGGAAGCTGCAGCAGCACAAAGGCTTGCCAGGCAAGCGCAAGGTCCCGAGTTGGATTCCCAGTACAAAACAAAACAAAACAAAAAAATCAGATAAAGTAGGAAGCTGGAGGATGAGTGGAACGAACTTACCCAGAGAGAAAATCTCTAGATTTTAGCCCCGAATTGTGTAAAATACAGCTTGCTGCGGCCAGGAACCCTGACTGATGGGGCTGCGGCCCCCTCTGGCCCTTCCTAGGGTGAAGAGGGCAGGCGGCCGGACTCCTGCTCCGGCCGCAGCTCGGCCCGCGCACACGAGATGGACATCTGCGCCACCACAGGGTGCTTTCTCGGACAGCAAAAGGCAAACAGCGGGCCTCAGTGCCTCCCTCGGCGCCGCGCAAACTGGAAATGGCTCCATAGTCCTCACCCCGCGTTCCCGGTCTCAGTCCACCTCCTGTACAGATAAACAGCCTCAGGCCAGCTTCTTGCCGTCTACGTTCCGAGGCGCACAGCAGCACGAGATGTTGCGATCCTTGTGTGCGTCTGGAAGATGCCAAAGGAGCGAGGAGTTCCTGTCCTGCAGTCAGGCTCTGAGGCCCCAGCTGTGCATTCTCAGGAGGGTGGACCGTACGAGGTGCTCACACTCACCGGGCCACCATGCCCCTTTTCTCTCACAGAAAATCCAGAGGGACTGAGAGCTCGGAGAAGATCCGTGGGAAATGCTAACGTAGCCAGTTCATGCTGGGCTAAGCATTCCAGGGCAAACTCTGCCAAGAGTTTCCTTTGCATTCGGAAAGGAGCGCAATCACCTTGCTCAGAGTCCACTACCATGAAGACCCCTGGATTCCATTCCTTAAATATCCCTCCCAAAGCAACAAGAGTGCAACTTCCTTTCGACGTACTGAGGATTCAAAGATGTCATTCTCACACTGACGAGAACTGCGATCCGTCTAAGGAGATCCTCGTATTCTTCCCCCAGATAGGAAGGGGTCTCGCTAATTCTATCAGTAATGAGTAGCAGGAGGAGTCGAGGTGGCGGCGGTCCCGGCAAAGCACTTACTTTTGCACATTAATCCCCTATCACTCCATGAACGTAGGGCTCAGCGCTCAACCCATCTCAAAGGTAGGTACAGTGACGTTTACGCACATGAACTGACTTGTCAGGAGTTACACAAAGGAGGAAGGCCAGAACCTCCAACTCCTATCTGACCTTTCAACCCCATGGTCTTAATTACTGCCATCCCACATTCTAGGGCCAAAAAAAAAAAGTGTTTAGGTCACACCCTTGTACAGGAAAATTAGAGTATATTTGTGTAAATCCATCTTGATTATTAGAATTTGCTTGTAGAAGGCCGGGGATACAGCTCAGCAGCACAAGCACCTGCCTGGCAGGTGCAAGGTCCTGAGTTCAATTCCCAGTACCAAAGAAAACAAAACAAAACAAAAAAAGAATTTGGTTGTAGATTTCCTTTCTCGATCAAACTTCCATTCCCTTGAAGGAAATATTTCAAGTTTTTTTTTAAGCAGAGAAAAATAGACTGTTGTTTACCAATGACAGGTTTATAAGGTTTCCAAAGGCAAAATTTAAAAATCTGCATCCAAAGTGAAGACATTATCTGTGGTTTCTGCCATAACTGCAAAACGCTGATACTCTGAAACTCGTTTCTCAAAGAAATTTGTTTTCCCTTCTAAAGAAATGTTTTCCATAAAATCGAAGGGATTTTCTGCCTGAAAAACCTGAAAAAGAAAAGAAACATTAAGATATTCTGAAGAAGTCAAATTATATTTCCTAAGAAGGGCAAAAATGAAAAAAAAGATGAAGAAATACACACACACGCGTGCACACACACACACACGTCTCCCAGTGCCTACCCCATCACACACGGTCACCTCATCCCCCAAGGTCCTGGGGCACCTGAGACGACCCCGTCAGCACTCAAACGAAGTTTCAGATGGCTGAGGTCACCCACCAACTTTCCTGAGAAACTACGTGACCAGCTCTGCTATTTTAAGAAAGAGTGCAGAAAGAAAAAGATTCTTTCAGGAAATGGAACCTCGAATACCCAAAGACAGTCAAGAGCTCCAGTGCCTACAGGAGCTGTGGGCGTCTTTCACGGCTTACTACCAAGTGTCATCGGTAGGTGACAAATTGCCAACAATGCCCACGGCCCTGAGTAGGTGTCTCAGGGCATGAGAGAATAATCAGCGTACTGACAGCGGGACACCACGCTCAGGAAGATGAACGAACGCCAGCCGAGTACTCAACACGGCCAACAGCAAGAGGGGCCCGAACAACACGCACAGCCAGGGACAGCTTGGCGGAGTGGCGGGCAATCTCGGGGACACGGCTCGCCAAAGGCGGGCTCTGCACGCGCAAGGAGCCCACAGGAACAAGCTGTAGGACAGCTGGATGCATTCCACCCACTGTGTGGAAGGGGCGAGGGGCCGAGCGGACGCAGACGTATCTTCAGGGAAGACACACGGAGGCCAGCAAGCATGTGGAGAGAGGCTCAGGCCACCCTCCGCCAGGGACCGCCACGGCCCACACATGGGGCCGCTGCACTGCCGAGCCGGGACTCCTGTCAGGGAGTCGAGCAAGGTCGAACCCACACAACCACGGTGACTAACTGTGGAGCCCCCACAGGTGCAGCAAGGCCGCCCCTCCCTGTAGTGTGCGCTCCAGCAACATGAAAACGTGCCACACAGCTTAGACACCAGTGTGCGCAGCGGCACTGCTCAGCAGACAGAAGGACCAAGGACAGAAGCAGTTCACCTACTATAAACTGAGGAGAGCACATGAAACTTAACGCACCCGTACCACGAACGCTACCCGGCCACACAAAGGGAAGGGCGGCTCAGACATCTGCACGGCGAATAACCCATGAGCACATTCAAGTGAGGACAGGGCAGAGCCACGGAAAGCCGTGTACTAACAATCCCTCGTGAGCCAGGTGTGACTGAGGCCCATAACCCTGTCACTCAGGAGGCAGAGGCGGGAAGATTGCAAGTTTAAGGCCAGCCTGGACTGCATAGCAAGACCTTGTCTCAAAAACCAAAAACACTAAAACCTGGAATATACAGAATAGGTAAACCTAGAAAGGCAGACATGAAAGATGGCCTAACTCAGCAGGGCGGGGTGGAGGGAAAAAGGGAAGCAGTTGGCGGCTGTTAGGGACAGAAACTCCACTGGGTGATAGGGATGCTCTGGAATAGACTGCTGTACAGGCTGCACAACGCTGCACGTACTAAAGTTTTAACTGGGTGAAATGCACACTAGGTACTTAGGATCTTTTTGTTTTTGAGACAGGGTCCTGAGTAGCACAGGCTGGCCTTGAAATCAGTGATCCTCCTGCCTCAGCCTCCTGAGTGTGGGATTACAGGCCTGCGCCTCCTTGCCCGGCAAGTCCTGCATTTCTAACCCCATAGTGGAGCAGAGTAAATTCCCACAACTGATGACTGATGCACTTCTCTGAGCCTGCAGGGACCCTTCAGCATGCCTTCGCTGCGGGTCAGGAGTGATGGGGATCCGGGTCACAGCCCCGGGCACCCTGTGCGGCTTCGTTTTACCTCTTCTCACTAGGTGAGGTTGGGCCCGACAAGTGCTCACAGCCAGAACCAGCGGTACGGGACAAACCCTGGAACCCGGTGTGGATCCAGCCACTCTGTGTCCCGGGAACCCGAGCTCCTTCGGAAACTGAGGCACACTACCCCTGACCCACAAACTAGCAGAACAAGGACAACCGAGTTCAAAGAGCTGAGTGAGGGCCGGGGTGCAGCTCAGGAACAAGCCGCTCAGGAAGGACCCTGGAGGCCCTATACTTGATGGCCAGCTCTGTGGAGGGCAAGAGAGAGAGGGTCAAACCACAACAGTTCATGTCTTCTTTTCATTTTGTTTGGTTTGTTTTTTTATTTGTTTTTTGAAACAGGGCCTCCCTATGTGTATGTAGCTCAGGCTAGCCTTGACTTGCTATAGAGCCCTTAGCCTTAAACTTGAAGTAATTCTCCTGCCTCAGCCTCCTGAGTGCTGGGATCACAGGGGGCTGCTATCAGCCCAGCAGTTAATGTCTTTCTAATAACTATGCCCTGTTTAAAAGTTTTCACCGCCTAAATTACATTAGAAGAGCATGGGAATTTACATAAAGGTAGACATATGTGTCTGAAATCCAGTTCTTTGAAAACATCCTATAAAACGTATACCTGTAATTGTTCCTCTCACTAAGAGCTTGAGTTCTAACATTCACCAGTTCTCCTATTTCTGTTGAGTTTTAAGTTTTAAAGGATTTTGCAAAAACCACTTTTTCATACAAAACAAGTCTCTGTCGTGGACATTTTAGAAGTACAATTGTTGATCACAGATGATTTCAGCAAAATACATTTCAGGGACCTTCTCTGACTGCACCATCTTAAGTGGCAGCAACCCGATTTCAGACCCCCTTACCTTTGCGAACCCAAGCTCCACAAGTAATCTGTCCGCCACGAACTCGATATACTGCTTCATCAGAGCACAGTTCATCCCGATGAGACCGACCGGCAGGGCTTCCGTCAAAAACTCCTGCGGTGCACACAGAAGCAAACAGAGCACAAGGAGCAATGAGTAACCGGCAACTCTAAGGACGGAACAGGTTTTGGTTTTACTAAGATCCTATGCAGTCACCTTATTTCACCCTCTCAGACAGCAAAAATCAACACAGACCACCAAACTACTGGATGTGCAGAAGCAGCACATGGAGGGCAGGTACTCCTACGCCCTCAAAGGACAGAGCACCCCGAAATACCTGGAAAAAGATTCACCGGAGGTAACGGTCACAGTGGTAGCACATGGGAGGGAGGCACTCAACAAAGAATGTGACTAGAACAGAAACGGCTTAGGTTGGGGATGAAGCTGAACTCCAACCATATGAAAGATCGTGGTAAAGTATTCACAGAAACAAATACAAACACACTAACCACTCGGCATTAAGTGCCCAAAATGATCCAAATGAGGAACCAAAGCGCAAACTGCCTTTCCCCTCCCAACACGAAATCACGCCTACGCAGTGCTAAAGTGAAGCAGGTTTTACATTAGACTAGAGTAACAGCAGACCCCAGGTGAAGCATCTCGCTTCCCCAGTCAGAACTCTTTCGGTGCCCTGAAGTGACTCCTCCCTGACTCATCTGGCATGCGCATCTGCCCAGAGGCCTGCTAGGTACGCAGAACTCAAAGAAAGAAACCATCAGTGCCCCCAGCTACTCATCCGGAAATATGAAGCTATAATAAGCAAAACTCTCCTTACAGGCCAAAATCTGACAGAAAAAATCAAAAGGGTTAGAAAAACTGCACTGAAACAGATTTTACTTACATAGAAAACTTTATAACAAAGACTGACTTTAAAACCAAATTAGACACTGACATAAAAACTGCAATACATCAAGGATCAGTACTGCCAAACCGACTACGCAAACTTGCTGATATTTGTTTTGACTTTTAAAGTAACAATTTCACAAGTCAAATATAATACCACCATATAGCTGGGCGTGTGGTGCACACCTGTAATCCCACCTCTCAGGGAGCTGAGGCAGAAGGATCGCCGAGACTTGGAGGCCAGGCTGGGCTACATTGTGAGACCACATCTCAAAAAGACAAAAAATAAAAAATAAAAATAAAAATAAAGCTACAGCCAAGGGCAGCAGCCCAGCGACTTGGGAGGCAGAGGCAGGCAGGTCGCTTGAGCCTGTCTGAGGGCAGCCTGGGCAATACGGTGAGACCATCATGAGAGAGATGTGCGAAGTACACAGACTCCCCTCCTTACCTGCTCGATTCTGACGGCGTCCACAATGATCTCCCTGACCCTGTCCGAAGAAGGCTTATTCACTAAGTACTGAAACATCAGGCAGGCAAAGTCACAGTGAAGTCCCTGCAACAGAGGACAAGGCCGTGGTCAGAGCGCTTCCTCAGCTGTCTGCACACGGTGGCACCACGCTCTGAAGACGCAGATGCTGGGGGTGCACGCGGAGCGCCAAGAGGTTCTTGAGCCTTCGGGTCTCTTAAACGCCAGCTCAGCGACTTGCAATTCAGAACTGTCGGCGCCAGCACATCACAGCGAATCAGCAACAAACAATCAATTTACACACAAATCTGGAACCAAAAGCATTTTGGGAAGGAAAACAAACCATAATAGCCAAAATGAAATTCACTCATTTTTAAATGTCAAACAAATCAAGGAATGCTTCAAAAACAGTAAGCAGTATTTAAAGAACAGATGCAACTCACTCAGAGGTTTTGCAAAGCACAGTAATATTAAGTAAGAACAGCTCGAGATGGGCATAGCGGTACATGTCTGTAATCACAGCTACTTGAGAGGCACAGGCAGGAGGCTCAAAATTTCGAGCCTAGTCTGGGCAAGAGAGTGAGACCCTTTCTGAAAAAATCTTTTTTTTGAGGCAGGGTCTCTCTATGTAGGTAGATTGGCCTCAACCACACTACGTAGTCCCAGCTGATCTCAAACTTGTGATCTTCCTGCCCCAGCCAACGAAGTGCTGGAATTACACTTATGTGCCACCACGCCTGGTTCAAAATAAATGTGAAAAAAGGGCTGGGGATGGAGCCCAGTGGTAGAACACGCACCTACCTTGCGTGAGGCTCTGGGTTCAACCCCTACATCACACCAGTGTATGCGTGCACACCCACTCACACAGACACACCTCAGAAGACAAACGAATTCCAGGCAATGCCAATGGAAATGAAGAAAGGGGATCCACCTGAAGCAGCGAGCAGCAGAGACAACGTGCACACAACTCTGCCGGCAAGAAAACCACGTGTGAACACCCTGTGATAAGACGACTGTGGAGATACAACAAATACCAAACATCTCAAAGAACCAGAGAAGAGACCAAGGAGATTCAGCCTACATCCAGGACTCCAAAACACAGAACAGACGGTGCACAGCTGATTACCAAAAGAACCTGAGACAATTTTCACAAATTCAAAAGAAACAAGAAAAAGAGGCCACAGATAGGAAGATGATGGAATTCCCAGCCAAGCCACCATCCAGAGGCCGACACCAAGGAAAATCAGTCAGCATTTCACAGTAACAGGAAACAACGGAGCAATCAAGGAGGGGAATTCTAAAGGGGTACAGGTCGGGGCTGCTTCGGGTTTTCTGAGTGAACAGGAACCCCCGGGGTTCAAAGATGAGACCAGCGAATCCAAGACTGACTTCCAGGGTCATTTACCTCCTTCAACTGTCATTCACAGGAGAAATTAGTTTTAAAAACCTACCTCTCGGGGCTGGGGATTTAGCTCAGCGGCAAAAGCGCCTGCCTGGCAAGCGCAAGGTCGTGAGTTCGGTTCCCGGTACCGGAGAAAAAAACAAAAAAAAAAAAAAAAAAACCTACCTCTGAACAACTGATCTGAGCGATATTACTAGTATGTTATTTTTTCTGCAGATTTGGTCATGGGGACAAATACTTCAAATGACCCCAAGCAGAGGTCAAACGAGCTACGCAAAGACATCAGAGAAAGTGCCGACTGCACCGCACAGCGGCCGCCCGAAGGCGGCCCCACTGGGGCCGGCTCTGGTAAATGAGCAGAATTCATTCTGGGGTTTAAAGCAATTCCAGTCAAAATCCCCACAGGATTGGATTTAATTTAAAAAATAATCTGGAAGAACAAATGGGCAGGACCTTGTAAGAATGCTTTCAAATGGAATGTTCTGACATTTATTCTACCAATAATTAAAACATATACAACTATAACAATTAAGACTTTATTACGACATGAAATCTCACACATAATCAACAAGGCAAGAAAAACAGCCAGGAAATGGATTTTAGCACAGTAAAACCTTAATATATAATAAAGAAAAAGCCATGTCAGTGGAGGAAGGATGGATTACTTAATAATGAAAACTAGAAAACTTTTCTAAGATTGTTGAAACTAAAATTAAGTTAAAACTAGGCACGGTGGCACACACCTGCAATCCCAACATTTAGGAGGCTGAGGCAGGAAGACTGCCGCAAGTTCAAGTAAGTTCAAGGCCAGTCTGAACTACACAGCAACATCCTATCTCAAAAAATAAAAATAAATAAGTGAAATCAAGTTAAATTCTAACTTTTTCTATTAATTCTACACTTAAAAACTGAACAAATTCCAACTGTATTAGGGAGCTAAATGTTAAAAAGCCTAGAAGAAAATGTTTGTCATCATTTAAATTCTATACAGAAGTAGATCACACAAAATATAAGCTATTGTACATTAATAAAATTAAAAAGCAAGCCAGGCATGGCAGTGCATGCCTGTCACCTCTCCCTCATCCAGGAAGCTGAAGCAGGAGAATCACCACAAATTTGAGGCCAGCCTAGTGATCAAGGTCAGCCCTGAACTACATAGTGAGACAGTCTCAAACAAAAAAAAAATGGAGGCCAAACTGGGAAAATATTTTTAAAAAATAACAAAATTCATATTTTATGTTATATTTATTCAACAAATATAGTAAATAAGTATAACAAATTCACGAAATAAATATTCACTGAAAGAGTCTCATTAGTCACTGGACTTGTGAATATACCAGTAAGGAAAGCAGGGATGAGCCCTTCCTATCTATCTCCCCACCGCCTAACAAAGCCCTGGTAAGGGTTACAGCTGAGGAAACTGAGGCACACAGACGTCAGGCTCACTTGCAAGGCCATCAGAAGTAAGTGGCAGGGCCAAGATCAGTGTGGCCTGCAGATAAATGGGGCCAGATACCACCAGCCAGCTAAGAGCAGGAGGACAAGCAAGACCAGGTCTCCAGGCAGGAACCAGAGCCCCCCAGGGGCAGGCCTGCACCCCCTGGGCCCCAGGACGGGATGCCGGGAGCCTGCTGGGGCCCTTGCAGCACCTCTGAGCCGCTTCTGTGAAGGGGGTTAGCCGGGGAAGTGTGAAGGCCAGCCTGAGCTAAGGGAGCAAAGCATGGTGACGCCAGGCATCTGGACAGCGGCAACATGAGGCAGCTCCCACAATTCCCCCAGATGCCTGGAGAGCAGGGCCGCAGCTCTCACCAAGACGGTGAGAACAGGAGGATGAGTGCTACAGAGAGAGCTGAATCTGGCTTCTGAACCGCAGGTTCGAGGCCCCCCCAGAGCCTCTGGGAAACAAAGCCTAACTGGCTACACAGTCTGGAGAGCAGGCAAGAGGGCTGGAAGAATCCCCACACTGGTCTCCGCAGTGGTTTCACCAGTCTGCACTCCCACCAGCCATGCAGAAGGGCTCCTTTCTCCCCACAGCGCCCCCAGCATTTGTTATGGGTTGGTTTCCTGATGACAGCCATTCTTTCTGGGGTGAGATGGAGTCTCAGTGTTGTTGTAATTTGCATCTCTCCGATGACCAGTGATGTTGAACTTTTATTTTACATATTTATTTGCCGTTTTTTACTCCTTCACCTGAGAAGTGTGTATTCATCTCAGATGCCCATTTTCTTTGAATTAGAGGATCTGTTTTGTTTTGTTTTTTTTTTTTAGTTCTTTATCCGTTCTGAGGAGCAACTGGCTAAATTTTTTTCCCAATCTATGCGTTGTCTTTTCACTTTGTTGGTGGTTTCTTTTGCCATGCAATAGCTTTTCAATAAGATGAGATCCCACTTGTTGATTCTTTGTAGTGTGAACTGGTGCAACCGCTGTGGAAATCAGTGTGGAGATTCCCAAAAAACTAGGACTAGAGGTTCCCATTTGACCCAGCTATTTCCCTTCTTGGTATCTTCCCCAAAGAATTAAAAGCATCACACCACAGCAATATATGCTCACCCACGTTTATAATGGCAGTTTGTAAAAGCTAAATCTTACAAGCAACCCAAACGCACAGCAAGCGATGCATGGATAAAGAAGATGTGGGGGTTTATATATAATGGTGTACTACTGTGCCATAAAGAAGGATAACTTTGAGACATTAACTGCTAGATGGATGGACCTTGAGACCTTACTCAAGTGAAATAAGTGAGACACACACGTAAATATCCCATTATCTCACTGGTGTGAGAAACTGAAAGTATAAATAGGGACCAAACTGTACAAGAGATATGATGAGATGGGAAGAAATTGCTCAAAAGAAAAAGGGAACTAGGGGGGAGGAAGGGGGAAAGGAAGGGAAAAGGGAAAAAATGAGGAAAGAAGGAAAAATGGAAACAAAGCTTTGTAAATACGGAGGGGAAGAGTTACAAGGAGGGGAGGAGAACGAGAGGGAAGAAAACACAAGGCATACAATAAATAAATACAGAAGTTAGAAAGAAGGCCGCCCATAAACAGACGAGCTCTGGGGCACTCCAAGCACTCAGGCGGGAGCCACCACTCGGTCATGCAGAGCGGCCAGAGGACAGTCACGAGGACACAGGACGGGGGAGGGCCTGGCCACCTCCCTGCGTTCACAAGTCCGGGCAGGAGAACAGGCGAACACAGGTGACCCCAAACCCACCCCAAGCCCAGGCAGCGCAGCACCGGCCTCACCTCGTCCCTGCTGATGAGCTCGTTGGAGAAGGTGAGGCCCGGCATGAGGCCTCTCTTCTTCAGCCAGAAGATGGCCGCGAAGGCCCCCGAGAAGAACACACCCTCCACAGCCGCGAAGGCCACCACTCTCTCCCCTGCGAGACAAAACGTGTCACCTGCAGAAGGCACGGGACCTCAGACATTTGCACCTTTACAGACCCAGACGCTTCGGGGGCACTCCCACGGCTACTTCACCGGAAATGAACAAGTCAGCGTCGGCCAAGTGCCTCAGGGAGGGAAATTTTCCACCTCTACCACCAGAACAGAAAGGTCTGTCCGCTCCGGATCCCACCACAGACATAGGGACGGCCCTCCACACTCATCCTTAAGATGTGACTGACTTTAAATCTCTAAGATACACATTCTTGTTTGTTTTTATTTTTATATTTTTTTTTTTTTCAGTCTTGCTATATAGTAGTCCAGGCTGGCCCTAAACTCACTATGTAGGCCAGGCTGGCCTCAAACTTGAGGTGATCCTCCTGCCTCAGCCTCCCGAGTGCTGGGATAACAGGCATGCACCAGCAGGTCCACATGTTCTAAAATAAACATTCTTAAAAGTACAAATTGCTGGACTGCTATAAAACTCTTATCAGCGTCTCCGTGACTGTGTTCATTTATGTTACAGTATGCACTGCTATCTTAACTTCCCAAATTCTGAACAGAGTAAATGGAGCTGGGCAGAATCCCAGCACTCGGGCAAGGCCAGCCTGGGCTACACAGAGAGACCTTGTCTCATTATCATAATAACAGAATAAATAATGGCTTTCTTACTACTGGTTTCTAATTAATAGTTGAAAATAACTTTAGATCCCCTGAGGCAAATTTGATTAGGGATAAATTAGAGCAACAAACCGAAAGTGGACTTTCTGTCTGCTATCCACCGCAGGGCCCAGTCTGCTTTTTTCTTAACATATGGCATTGTTTCAATTGCATTAAATAAAAATTCCCTGTAAAAACAAAAGAATTCATGAAAAAGTCATTCATTTGCTTTTTTTTAGTTTAAGACAAGGTCTCACCACACAGTTGAGGCTGTCCTTGAACTCATTATGTAGTCCAGGCTAGCCTCGAACTTGTGGTGATCCTCCTGCCTCAACCTCTGGAGTGCTGGGGTTACAGGCATGCACTCCCACTCAGCTCATTTGCTTTTGTTAATGGACAAAATTTAATTTAAATAATTTAATCAAAGACAATAATTGTGCTGGGGGTGGTGGCATATGCCTGTGATCCCAGCACTTGAGAAGATGAGGCAGGAGGATCACCACAAGTTCAAGGCCAGCCTGGGCTACATAGTGAGTTCACGGCTGGCCTGAACGGCATGGTGAGACCTTATCTCAAAAACAAACAACAAAAAAAAAAATGTTAAACTCAAATTAATGGTTTGGAGCCAGACTGACAAATCAACTACAGGAAGATACTCAATTTCTAAACAGAATGTGTTAAGGAACAGGCTTTTAATATACTGTACAGTATCTACAGATTAACTAGTTTATGCAAGTTTTCTTTCACCCAACATATATATTACTTGGGAGATGGGATGGGACTTGAACCCAGGCTCTCTGAATGACTTTCCAGACCTAGGTAAGGTCTCACTAAATGCCCATCTTGGCCTTGAACTTGCAAGACTCCTGCCTCAGCTTCCTGAGCTTAGGGATTAAAGGTGTGAACCACCATGCCCAGCTACTCAACACATTCCTGGGCAACAGGAAACATTATACTCCAACTTCCACGTTTGGATAATCTCCCCCTAACGTTCAGTTAGGGGGTCAGCTCTGCTCGCAATACAAGCAGGGGGAGGAGGCTGTGCCGCGGAACCCGCACAGTACTTTTGCTCAGGGTCTCTGACGTAGGCGTCTATGAGCAAGCTGTACATCTCCGAGTGAACGTTCTCGATGAGGATCTGGAAGCCGTAGAAGCAGCGGGCCTCAGGGACCTGCACCTCCTGGCTGAAGCGTTCCACCTGAGGAGAGAGGGAGACAGTCCAGGGCACGGCTCTGCAGACCCCTGGACCAACGCCACCAACCCTCATCTCAGTGTCAGAACTAGCACCGAACACGGCCCGTCACGTGGCAAATGGGCCAGGCAGACCTCGTGGATTATTGTAAGCAGGACCTCCCGCAGCACTGTTTGGCCAACCAACCCTCCCCAGCACATGAGCTGAGTGGCATATCCTGAGTGAATTATCTGTGTGTGGAAACACTGCCACAGAGTCAAATAAATATTTTTTTTGGTCTTTTTGAGACAAGGTCTCACTATGCAGTTCAGGCTGGCCTTGAGCTCACTTTGTAGCCCAAGCTGGGCTCGAACTTGCAACGATCCTCCTGCCTCAGCCTCCCGAGTGCTGGGATTACAGGTGTGCGCCACCACACCTGGCAGAGCCAAATAAATCTTATTTTTCATTTTTTTTGAGACAAGGTCTCCCTATGTAGTACAGGCTAGCCTCAAACTCACAATGATCCTCCTGCCTCACCAAATTTTAGACATCCACTAAAAATGATTTTGCTGTGTAGATTCTTTCTGACAGTGGACAGACCTGTTAAAGACTCCTCTAGCCCACAGTGGACCATATCTCTGTCCTCTCTAGTCAGAAATTACGCCTCCTGACCAGCCAGAACACAAGTCTGCACTTACTTACTCAGTGGAACTGGAGACTGAACTCAGGGCTTTTACACTGAGCTACATCCCCAGCCCTTTGTAAAAATGTTTAGTTTTGCAACAGGGACTCACTAAGTCACTAAGTTGCCCGGGCTAAGCTTTAACTTGAGGTCCTCCTGTCTCAGCCTCACATAGTGACTGGATTACAGGTACTGGCCACTATTCCCAGAACTGGAGACCAAGCTCAGGGCCTCAACCCTATTGCTACTGAGCTACACCCCCAGCTCAATAAGGTTTTTACATGGGAAGCTGGAACCCAGAACAGAGCTCTGGATGGTAAGGGGCATATTCTCTACAAGTTTATTGTCTGAGGATAAAAATCCCAAATGCTGTGTATGGTGGTGCATACCATGCACTCAGGAAGGAGACTGAGGCAGGAGGGCCGCCACAAGTTCAAGGCCAGCCTGGGCTACACGGTGAGAGCCTGTCTCCAAACACACATACTCACACCCAGTCACAAGTTTATGGGCTGCATGTAGGTTTGATGCAATTCACACTTGATTTTATGGTATTCTGCTGGTCAAATGACATAAATCTGTCCTTACCTCTGATGCTTCATCAGAAAACTGCTTTCCAGAAGTAGAAGCTTCACTCTGTCTATTATTTAGAAGCTTTCCTCAGGCTCAATCAAATGATCTTACTGACATTATCATAATTTAACTGCTAAATGGAACTCCAGTACAATGTAACAAAAATCTTACCAAGTTTTCATTCACAATGCCATCACTGGCTGCAAAAAAGGCTAAGATGTGAGAAATAAAATACTTCTCGTCTGGTTTCAGCTTGTTCCAGTGAGGCAGATCCTTTGATAGGTCAACCTGGAACAAAAAGATTTTCAAAAATGTTAACTAAGAGTTGGTGTTTAGAAAACTAACTTACACCCCAAAGCTAAGGAGCAATATTCCATTAGGAGTAAACAGTATAAGGGAAAACATATTAATGTCACAAAAAGACAAAACAGCCAGCTAGTGGCCCAGGCATGCCTATAATCCCAGCCCTCAGCCCTCTGAGGCTGAGGCAGGGGATCGCAGATCGCTAGTTCAAGGTCTACCTGGACAACACGGAAGGTTGGAGGCCAGCCTGAACTATACAGTGAGAACCCTTCTCAAAACAACCTACCCCAAAACCACACGCATGTAAAAAGAAACAAAAATAAAACAAAAACATCATGTTAAAAAGAGTTACATTTGGGGCATTTGTTAAATGAGATTATAGCTATCTGAGCACAGGAGAGAAAATGCGTTACTACTGTATGAGATGACAAGTACACTCACTTGTTTATACGACAGCAATGATCTCACCACATGCACTGCACATGTTTACATTTATACACACATAAACACACACCCACGATGTACATACCTATGTGTGTACACGGGTTCTTTTGTTTTTGCCATCCTGGGGACTGAACCCAGGGCCTCACACATGCTAAGTGTCTTAGTTACTTTTCTCTCATTGCTGAGACAAAATACCCGCACCAAAGTTAAAGGGGGAAGTTTATTTAGCTCACAGCTGTAGAGGTTTCAGTCCATCATCGGCTGGCTCCAAAGCAGGGTGGTATCGCAGAGAACAGTTCATCACAAGGCAGCAAGCGACAAGCAGTCACTCTTTCCCTGGCATCTTCTCCAGGTCCCCTCCCTCTAGAGCGGGTAGCACTCATACCCAGGGAGGGGGAGCCTCAATCCTAGCTTCGCAGTGTGAGTCAGTCCCAGCATCACATCCTTGACCCCAGAAGCACACACCCTAGATCCAGCCACCTCTGAACATCCCCACCCAGGGCCGCATGAGGCCTTGGGGGGACACTGAGACGTGAGCTGGAACACGAGGCAAGCACCATACCACTGAGCTACTACCCCACATCTATTTATTTTATTTTATTTTGAGACAGGGTATTACCAAGTTGCCCAAACTGGCCTTGAATTTGTGATCTTCCTGCCTAACCCTCCTAGGTAGCTGGGATGACAGGCATGTGCCACCATGCCTGACTATACGTGAATATTCTAACACTACATTGTATACCTTAAGTATACCCAATAACACTTACTTAAAAGAAAATTATGAGGGGTTGGGGATTTAGCTCAGCAGCACAGCGCCTGCCTGGCAAGCACAAGGTCATGAGTTCGATTCCCAGTACCAGAAAAAAAAAGAAAATTATGAAAGAATCTGACTTTCTGGCTCATGGAGAAGCTGGCCAGCACATACTTTAGACATATTATAATTAAATTATCTACTGCCATTGAAGCAAATCAAGATGGGACAGAGGGGGAAGAGAAGACTAGTCCAGAAGACAGGTAAATAAACCATGTAACATATTTCAGTAGCCCCTGCCGCAGCCCTTGATACGGCGCTCTATTTACTCGGGAGCGAGACAGGCAACTAAGCACCTGTCCACCAACTGCAGCCACGACTTAGGAACCCACTTTCCCCAAGAGGAATGGCAGGCAGGCAGGCACCCGCGTTGGGAAGTGCTTCACAGGGAGGACTTGCTCTGGTAACCTGCAACGTCAAACCTGTCGTCGGACGTACCGCGCTGGTCGGCGCTGCTGGCCCTGGCGGCTTACCAAACGCCCACGGACAGGTGGCTTAAAGCACAGCGGTCTCCCTTGACGTCGCTGTCACACAGTCCACAGAGCAGCGACGGCCCGTGGCTTCGTGGGGAGGGGCCGCCCCGGGTGTCCTCTCTCCGCCTCAGGGCGCTGCCTCTACCCGCACAGCCCACTGGACAGGCCGTGTGGGGCTGGAGCTCGCCACGGGACGGGGGGGGCAGGACCTTCCGTCGGGCGTGGGGGGTCTCCCGAGTGCCAGCGTCCTCCCCGTAAGACTCGAGCTCCCCTCTCAGTCACGGAGTTCTCTTCCACAGCTCCTCTTCGCAGTGTGCGAACGCCTGCTGCACACTCAGGGAGGCCCGACACAGACCTCGGCGTCGGGACGAGGGCGAGCGCGCACCTGTCTCGGACACGTAAAATGCCTCAGCTGAGAAGCAAGAGCTGCAGTCCGTGCTGAGCGGAAGCGCACCTTCTGTAGCACACTCCCGAGAGTAAACTTGAAAACTGATGTTTGTTCTTAAGATTTAAACTTCCCTCTCGGAACACTCAGCTTCAAAATATCTCATCAATTTTATTTATACTGCAGCAGAAAGTGCGCATGTGCTGCGGGTATACTTCAGTTTGTTCGTTTCCCAGGTAATAGTTTGGGTTACAGCTGCTGTTACTTTTATTTCTTAGAAAGAGCTGGTCACTGGGATGCACATCATATAAACCAATCCCCAAAGTGACAAGCCGTTCTGCCTCTGTACTTCCCGCTTGTTTATCCCATATAAGCCCTAGACCACCAGAGACAGGAGCCTGATATTCTGGGAATGATCCCGATCGGTATCTATCAGTGTAAATAAATCTGCCTCCGAACCCTGGGTATCGCTTCGGTGCTTCTGCTTGCCGTTTGCAAAACTGATGTGCCATACTCCCTTCCAGAAACATAACTCTTCCTCCCTAGCTTTACCTCCTATGAGCACATTCTCAATTCTGCCATCTACATATTGACTCTAAACCAACTGCTTCTGTTTGGGTCTCTTTTTCTTTCTTTTTTTTTGTCAAAGCCAAATAGATTTTATTTCAACCAAGAATATAAAATAACTAATCTAACTTATTTTAGTTTAACAAAGTGAGAAACACTGGCCACGCTGAGGCCTGGCGCTTCGAACACTCATTGCAGAACACGCAAAGCTACAGCCATAGCGGCAGTCACACAAGAAGGAATGCGTGCAGCAATGACTTTGCCTTATATTTGCGACTATTCTTGCTGTTTGGATCTTTTTTTAAAATTATTTTTTGGGGTTTTTTGGGGTTTTTTTGAGACAGGTTCTTGTTGTATATTCTAGGCTGGCCTTGAATTTGAGGCAATCCTCCTGCCTCAGCCTCCCTGGTACTGGCACCAGCACACCTAGCTTATTCGAAGGTGCAGAGGTGGTGAAACCTTAGCGGGGGGAGGCCAGAGGATGAAGGGTATTTCCCATCCTTCCCTCTTCTTCTATAAGCTGTTTTTCTCTGACATTCTGTCACAGCACTGGAAACCTAACACACTAGCTGATTATCAAAACTGCCCGGGAAGAGTTTTAAAAAAAATTCCCATCTCTAAGCATTTGTCTTCTGAATCAGGGTTTACTATATGGAAATTATGTTCAACCACTGATTAAATACAGGAGTCTTGGCTAGGTGTGGTAGAGCTTGTCTCAGCTACTTGGGAGGCTGAGGCAGGAGGACAGCAAGTTCAAGCCCAGCCTTGAACTCAGCAAGACCCTGTCTCAAAATAAAGACAGGGATAAGGATGTAGGTGTTCAAATACTTGCCTAGCATCATAAGGCCCTGGGTTCAATCCCCAGCACCACAAAAAAAAAAAAAAAAAAAAAAAAAGGTGGAAAGTTGATAACATGGTAATTTACATAACTTGTCTAAATGTAAAACAAGTGAGCTAAAAAGTGTTTGACTTCCCCTTTTAAAACATGTACCTGAAACTTCCTATAAAATATGTGTCAACTTGCACATTTTAGTTTATAAAAATTAGTATTTCTTAGTTGGAAAAGGACATGTACTAGAACTGTGAAAAGTAAAAGCCATTTCCAGATGAATTTCAAGAAACCCAAGTATCCCAGGGACCTTTCCACACGACAAATGAAAAGCCACCTGTGTGGCCCCTGGTCCCCTGGACCGTGTCTTACAAAACACCCTGAAAACCACAGACAGTTAGGGACACTCAGGTGTGGCAGGCAGACATGTTTGTTTTGGTTTGCTTTTTTTTTAACTCTGGGTGTCAACTGCAACACAGCAAAGGTGGCCAGTGTGACAGAGGTGACTACGACAGTAAGACTGGTGCCCGTACGATTTCTAGGTTAAATCTGCGTGCCCCACGCTTTGTGTAAAATAATGCAGTCGTTCACGTGTTTACTCAGCGCTTTCTCAGTGCCAATTACCACTTGAAACATCTCAGTAGAGCCCAACGGCGTTGGCACACACCTGTAATCCCCACACTCAAGAGGCTGAGTCAGGAGGATTGCTGCACGTTTGAGGCCAGCTTGGGCTACACAGTGAGTTCAAGGCCAGCCTGCACTATAAAGCAAGACCCTCACTCAGAAAACCAAAAAACAAAGAAATAGAAAATCTCAATAATCTTAATGACCCTATGGTCTGGCACTCTTAGCCCAGCTGACCAAGGAGGACACAGAAGGTTAAGGCCCCATCGAGTTCCACAGCCGGGGAGCCACAGAGCAGGCTTGTGTGCAGGCAGGCCCGTGCAGCCCGTGCTCCCTCAGTGTGTTCACACCCACAGAAGCCATGCCTCGAGAAACGGGGGTGTACACACCGGGACACAGAGACGCGTCTCTCCTCACACACTCACAGCGCAGCGCTGTGCGCGCATCCCGAACTCTGCTCAGCGGGCAGGACAGGAACCGACCGTGTCCCAGGAAACCCTCGGCCTTACCTACAGGCAGGGATCAGAAATGGACTCACCTCCTAAGTGGGAAATGTCACCCTAACAGAAAGGGTTCCACCGCTGTCCCTCAGGCCACTGCTGGCAAACTATGACACGCGTGCCAGAGCAGGCTGTTTTGTATCACTGAATACTCTAAAAGGTTCGCCATCACGCCTGAGGGTTTGGTTCTGGGTCCAGGGCTGAGCCCAGGCCCTGTGCAGAGCGTGGCAGGTGCCTCACTTTAGAGCTACGCCCCAAGCCCCGCATCCGGCAGCCACAGCGCAGGACGCTGTGAACCTGGCCTGGAGCACCGTGGATGACCAAGCTCTGCACGTGACATGCCCTTCACATAGTCCCACAGCGCCTGGCCCCCTGCAGCAGGGACAGCAGGGCTCCCACAGCCCCTCACTGCTCGACTACATGTAGCTGCAGCTTCGGTCACTCTGCTGACCTTAAGTAACACAGCAACCGAAAGTCTGCTTAAAAATAGAAAAATTAGTCAGTCAGGTGTGGTGGTCCACACCTCCCATCCCAGCACTCTGGGAGGCTGAGGCAGGAGGAGGATTACAAGTTCAAACCTGGCCTGGGCAATTTAGTGACTTTGCAAGACTCTGTCTCAAAATAAAATATAGCGAGGGATGTAGCTCAGCACAAAGGCCCTAGGTTCAATCCCTAGTATCAACTGCCCCAAACCTAAAAAATCTGAATCAGCGCTAGGTACAGTGGCACATGCCTCTAATCTCAGCATTCTGGGAGGCTGAAGCAGGGGACTGCAAGTTCCAAGCCCACCCTAGACAATTTATTGACTTAGTGACATCCTACCTCAAAAAATTTTTTGAGACAACATCTTGCTATGTAGCCCAGGCTAGCTTCCAACACACAGTAATCCTCCTGCCTCAGCATAAGTATCAAAACAAAACAAAAAAATGTTTTAAAAGGCCAGCAATCAAGCTGGGTGAGGTGGTGCATGTCTGTAATCCCAGCACTTAGGACAGTGAGGCAAGAAGACTGCTGGGAGGTCGAGGCCAGCCTGGGCTACACAGTGAGTTCAAGGCCCCAAACTATGTAAAGGGACCCTGTCTCCATAAAAAAAGGCCAGGGAGGGGCTGGGGATCGAGCTCAGCGGCACAGCACCTGCCTGGCAAGCGCAAGGTCGTGAGTTCCATTCCCGGTACTGGAAAAAAACTAAAAAGAAAAGGCCAGGGATAGCCACATCCAATGCAGCTCTCAAAGGTGGGGAGGGGCAGAGCATGGAGAAATAAAGATAAGAGACAATACACCGAAAGCTCAGGTGCGGTGGAGCCCTGTCTCCCAATGGGAGGATTCTATCTATACACTTGGCAGGTTGACACCTGTTTGCCTGGGGGGCTCTGTGCTCTCCGCTCTTTCACTTCAGCAATCAGTAGCCGGCGGCTCCGGAAAGGATGAAGGTCAGTGTGCTCTAGGTTCACTCCCCAGTACTTAAGAAAAAAAAAGTAAAAGTCTGGCAAGATGAGATGATTTTTTGCAGCAAGAAACTTGTTTCTAGACAGCAGTTTACTCTACGAGATTGGCGAACGCTGTCTTTCGTCTCAGAACTCCAAACTGTTTCCTAACGGATCTTACTCAGTGTCTCCAGGCTAAAGTTTCCCGGTACCTCCCGGCACAGGGAGTGAGTGCTGTCCTAGAGAACGTGTCGCCTACCTCCTCTGCCGTCCAGAAGGACGCCTGCGCCTGCTTGTACATCTTCCAGATATCAGGGTACTGGATGGGGAAGATGACGAACCGGCGGGAGCTCTTTCTGAGGAGCGGCTCTTCGTTAGAATTCACCGCATTTTCGGTGTTGTCTTGAGAAAATCTCTGAAAAGCAAAGCAGACAGTCTACTTACGAAGTCAACTCCACTTCCTTCGCTCCTCCTTTCCTGATCCCTGCAGTGGGGGAAGTCAGGGTCAGGACCGGTCTGGATGCAGTGGCTCCACCTTGCAGCCTCGTCTCCCACTGGCCAGTAGCATATGGCTCATCGCATGACTGCAGGAAGGTGCTTAACTTCACTGGGCTGCAGTTCCTGCAGCTGAAGAATAACACCCACCTACACTGGGGAGCTGAGGGAGGAGGGTGCTGCGAGTTCGAGGCCAGCCTGGGCTACCCAGCAAATTCAAGGCCAGCCTGGACTACACAGCAAGACCCTGTCTTAAAAAACTGAAAAAAAGGGCTGCGGATTTAGCTCAGCGCAGAGTCTGATGCGTGAAAAACACTCAAAAATTACCAGTTTTTGCTACTTGGGGATAAGTATTGGATCCCCAAATGTCACATGGACACACCTCTAAGTCTATGGAGAACAGTCCCCTCCGTACCACTCTGACACAGAACGCTGGCAGGAGCAGATCACTGACATAAACTATGTTTTTATTTTAACCGTTCAGTTAGGATTTTTTTTTTTTTTTTTTTTTTTTTTTGGTCTTTTAGAGACAGGGTCTCGTGCAGTTCAGGCTGGCCTTGAGCTCACTTTGTAGCCCAGGATGGTCTCAAACTCACAAAGATCCTCCTGCCTCGGCCTCCTGAGTGCTGGGATTACAGGCACGGCACCACGCCTGGCCAAACTTTCAGTTAGGATTAAACTGACAGTTCCTTACAACAACATATCTACCTTCAATCATCTGTACTTTCCATATACCAATCTGGGGCCGGGGATATGGCTCAGCGGCACAAGTGCCTGCCTGGCAAGCAAAAGGTTCTGAGTTCAATTCCTGGTACAAAAAAAAAAAAAAATAAGCATATACCAATCTGTTCTTCCTATGTACAATTTCAGATTGTTCTGCCCAGTACAAAACTCTGTCCACTTCGAAAAGCACACTAGTATTCATGGCCTCAGCCACATCTTTTAATCTGAAGCTCACTATCTGTAAATGAGAAATAATGCTTACCATGCTTATTTCAAAGAGCTGGCAAAGGATCAGAAGAGCTAATACAAACGGAAGTACTTTGCACACTCTCAAGTGCTGTACTTTTTTTGTTTTTTGAGACAGGGTCTCAAAAAATGTACTTCAGGCTGGCCTTGAACTTGCAGCAATCCTCCTGCCTCAGCCTCCCAAGTGCTGGGATTACAGGCATGCCCTACCATGCCCAGCAAGGGCTTTACATTTTTTAAATAATGATATTATTGAGTCCTGAGATGTTTTACATTGGCCTTTTAAAAGCTGTTCCTATATCCAAAGAATTATCATAGCAGTTAGTTATTCAATCAACACAGTCTCTAACCACCTAGAGGAACTCATGGAATAATTATGCACAGCTGGAGAAGCTTAACAAGCACCAAATACAACTGAGGCTGACGGAGAAGGCCGAGTCCACATCCCACAGATTTTCTAACCTGTCTTGGCCCACAGTGCTTTTTTTTTTTTTTTTTTGAGACAGGATCTCACTATGTAGCCCAGGCTGGCCTCAAACTCAGTGATCCTCCTGCCTCAGCCTGAGTGCTGAAATTACAGGTGTGCACCACCACACCTGGCTGCTCCTCCTCTAACTCCCCTAGAGGATGCAGTATCATCACTTTGCAGCACTCTGATGCTTTCTGTTATAAACTTTATCATAAGGGGTAGGTGTGTATCTAGGACTAGAAAGCTCCTCTGTTCTCCATTTGCCGTGTGGTCCTGAAACCTGGCAGAGCGAAGTGGGCACCAGCACCAGCACCCTCAGGCTGAATGACTCTTCCACATGCAGATCCAGAGCCGCTCGGGTCAGTACCCAGGAAACTGCTGAAGGCTGGGCCGTTACATCAGAAGAAGTGACGCCTGTAGCTGGCCGTGATGGCACATGCCTATAGTCCCCGCACTGGGGAGGCAGAGGCAACAGAATTGCCACGACTTCAGGACCAACACAGGGACTCACTCTCAAACCCCAGTCCCCAAAAGAAAGTCACACTGGTATGTACATTTTTCCTGTTTCATCTTGGTAAAATGTGGACTGAAAGAAGCAGCTAGTTGGGCATGGTAGTGCACACCTCTGGTCCCAGGACTCCGGGAGGCTGAGGCAGGAAGATCCTAAATTCAAGCCCAACCTAAGCAATGCAGTGACTCTGCAAGACCCTGTTTCAAAGTAAACAAATAAAAAAGGTCTAGAGATGTAGCTCTGGGCAAAGGTCCTGGACTAAACCCCCAGTGACAAAAGGCAGCAGCTAGGTCAGGGGGGCGCTGCGACAATGTGAAGAAAGGGGTTTAATCAGCAGACACCGTGGCGCTGGGCTTCAGGGAGCACAGTGCTGATTTCGCTGTGAATATTTTACTATAACTTTAGGAAGTGCAGGCAGGGCTTTCCACGTTTCCCTGTGGACCTGTGCTAAGAACTCGTATTTTAGAACTGGTTTTTACTAACTCACTTCTGTTGAGGTTTCAGAGGCTCTCAATTTCAGCTTTCATAGAAAGTTTCTTTTCATATTCATATTTTATAAAGTATTTAGTTAAATTACAGTACAATTAGTATTCACAGAACTGCAATTAAAGAAAACTGGTCCTGGGGTATAACACAACCATGGAAAACGTAAGTATCCAGGTGGCTCAAGCGGCTGAGTCAGGAGGATCTCTAGCTCCAGGTCAGCCTGGGCTATACAGTGGTAGCCTGTATGGAAGTATACGAGTGTACAAAATAGCAGTCTGAGTGCGGGGTTGGCCATTTTTTGGTGGGAATTAAGACCTGCATACGTAAAATCCACAGAGCACTTTAGAAGACTCAAACCCCATTCAAACATGGCCACAGCCCCCTTAGGCAATGCTGCTTACTGTAAAATCACCGGATTTTAAACACCTGAAGTACTTGTTACACATGCAGACGCAGACTTCTAGGTGGCCAGGAATTTAGTTTTTACAAACTACTAGAGGTGATGGTGATGCAGGTGGCTCATGCTACACTTACATCTAGACACTCCTTGGATCTCAATGTTTGAACTAAAATGCTCGACAGAATTCATTCTAGATCTGAAAATTTTGTGTATCTTTGTGTACAGAACATTGAGATAGCTGTAATTAAAAGGTCAACCTTCAGGGCTAAGCCTGAAGCCCTCAGCAAGACAGGAAAGTTAATTTTTCCCATGCGTGAGAAAATGGGTACTAAATGTATTTGTTTCAAGAGAAAGAAAACGCTGTCCAGCTTGGTGGTGCAAGCCTGTAATCCCTACACTTGGGAGGCTGAGGCAAGAGGATCCCCTAGAGTTTGAGGCCAGCCTGGGCTACACAGTGAGCTCAAGGCCAGCCTGCACGGCAAACTAAGACTGTCTTCAAAAAAATAAAAAGCTTGAGAGACATTTGTTGTTAATTAGTTACTAAATGGATATAAAAGCCGGCAGTGGTGGTTCATGCCTGTTATCTCAGCACGTACGGGCTGAGGCGGGAGGACTGCTGTGAGTTCAAGGCCAACCTGGACTACATAGGGAGACCCTGTCTTGAAAAAAAAAAAAGTTTTTAAAAATTAAAAAAAGTGGGTATAAAATTTTAAACACCGGATTTACAGCCTTCTAAAGGAATACAAGGCTAAGCATGAAGAGCAGGGAGCTGAAACTTTTATGCACACAAATCCAAGACAACACACATAGAAACAGATTGAAGTACAAAAAGTACTACTCTTATACCAAAGAGTATTGCTCTTATACCAAGTTCAGACACATCTGCAAAACAACAGGGCATGAAAATTAACAGAGCAACAATTTAAACTTCATTCAACCCTACAATCGAATAGGATCCTGTGTAATTAGCGTTACTGCGTACTTCTAAACCCAGCAGCCGAGAGAAGATAGGCTCACTTGGGTCTATTAACCACCTACAACTTTCAGGGCACTTTGCATAGAGCACTTTAATTCTCTGCGAGAGAAGTATCACTTCCACCGTTTAAATGAGGAAACCCACTCTGCAAAGATTCAGTCGGGGGGCTTCGTCCTCGCCAAGCTGCTCCCCCAACCTAATGTTCTCGCCGTGGTGTGTCCCCCACACACCCAGGCGCCGCACGCGTCTCTGCAGCTGAGCCGCCCAGGCCTCCCTGCCTCAGCCTCCGCGGCCTGGGGAGCAAGAAGAGGACGGGGGCGGCGCAGACGAGGGCCCGCAGCGCAGCGGACACCGCTCTCCGCTCCCTCGCCGGGTCCCCTGCGCCTCCTCCCCCGGTGCGCCCCCACGAGCTCGCTGAGCCGGGCTCCGAAAGGCAGCTCCCCGCCGCACCGCGACCCGAGGCCGGAGTGACCGCGGAGCGGGGGACGCGGCGACGGCGATGCTCACCTCGTCCTGCCCGGGCAAGCCCGCTTCCGGCCCCGCCGGGTCGCCCATCGCGCAGACTCCGCG